TTATTACAAAATGATATTAAATATTTTTATTATTATTATTAAATTAATAAAATTAACTATTTGATTGCCGTATATTATTTTTATATCATAACTACTTATATAAATTGATATATTGCTTAAAATTAATAGTTTGTTTAAATTTTAAATCTTAAATAAATACAAATAAATTTTATAAAGCACCACAGAGTCGATTTTGGCCAGTTTATTATACATCTGGGTCTTTTTAAAGCAGTGGCGTAACTACAGGGAAGCAACTGGAAGCAACGCTTTCGGGCCCCCGAATTTAGGGGGCCCCACTATAAATGTTTGTAAACGTTTTTTGTTGGAATAACTTCATATTGCATTTTATAAAAGATACGTTAATTTTAAATTTAAAGTACATAATATGTATGTACTTCAAATAAAATATTAAACCTATTTATAAAATAAAAAAGTTTTTCTAAGAAAAATATGTGTCTTAATCGAGAGTTTATATGGAAGCTATATCTAGATTTAAACCCATTTGAAAATAATTTTGTACGTTGTCTTTTGCAAATATCAGTACTGTATACACCAAATTCTATTTAAATACCTTTATTAAAAACGGAGAAACCTCATATCCGATTGTTAAATTTATATCACAGCTACAAGAAATAGACGTCCAATTTCAATCAAATCAAATGGTGAACAGGGTCGGCTAAAAGTATGTGTGTAAAGTTTCATTTGAAGAGTTCAAAACCTGAGAGTGTAGTTTGAACTGAAAAAGTATATATATACTGTACTGATATATACTTCATGATATTTCCGACGTTTCCTTTAATGCGTAACGAAAATCTTGACAAACCTTACATACCCTTTTCACATTTTTCGTGTAAAGAGTATAAAAAGAGGGGCCCCTTAGTATGTTGATAGGGGCCCCTTAGTTAGAATTTGCTTACAGGCCTAAAAAATGTAGTTACGCCACTGTTTTAAAGCCATTATTCATTGCAAATCTTAACAAAATTTATTTATATGTTCTTTCATTTGAAATATTTCCCAATATTATTTACTTCGAATAATAAATAAATAAATGTTTAAATAATTGCCTCACCCTGTATTAAAATGTCTTAATGTTTGTTATGAAATATATGAACACAAAATTACAATAAAATGAATATAAAACCAATACACAGTAGAATACTTGCAACGTTATTATATTTAGTGTATATAATATAAAATAATATAAATATATGTAGGTTAGGTTAGGTTAGGTTATACCGGTGATCCCTAGTGGATCCACTTAGGCCTATTGGCCCATTGTGATGCCGTATATAAATAATAAAAACCTCATGGTTTTAAACCACCTAGAACCTTTTGCGAAGCATAAAATGCTATTTAAAGCCCGATCCTGTAACTGGTCCAGGTCCTCAAGGAAGGGGGCACCTAGAGTACTAAATCGCCGACGTGCATGAGCTGGACAGAAACACAAAAAATGAGATGCGCTCTCATCGTCCTCCCCACAGCTGCGACAGATTTGGTTGAAAGGAAGACCTAGTCTTCTAGCATGGTTCCCTAGCTTACAGTGTCCTGTAGTCAACCCTACCAGAAGACCAATGTCCTTGCGGGACATCTCAATAAGAGTTTTCGATTTCCTTTTATCGGAAACTGGCCAGATTGCATACAGATGTTTACATATCGTTGAGTCTTCCCATCTTTTATTAAAAATATTAGTGCAGATAGAACTCAATAACAATTTACATGATGTAAGCGATATGCCCAGATATTCTAGGTGCTCCGAGTATGGTTCTGAAGCACCCTTTCTGGCTAACTCGTCTGCTTTGCAAATATATGTAACATAATATATAATTTATATATAGTATAGAATACAGTAAGCTTCAATTTCACCTTCACAACAGTTTAATATGGCGTTTACACTGGCCACAAATGAATCATTTCAAATCAGTCATTTACAAGTGTTTACAATCGTTGTAATTCATTTGTTCTCATTTTAAACAGCTGATATTTCAACTTGCCTGTTGATTTGATTTTTGGCTTGTGCCAAAAAAATGTTGAATGAAGGTAAAGTATACCTTTAAACCTTATAATATAAACTAAAAATTTGTTTTTAGCTTCGATTAAATACTTTTTGAAAAATAGAAGTTCCAAAAAGAGGTGCATCGCTTCCAAGATGATGTAGCCACTAAATATTTGTTCACCTTTTTTTGTAAATATGTCAAAATCAGCTTTCTCTAACTATCAAAATGCCATGAAAAGCTTTTCCAAAGTGTTCACTTCCATTTGGGACTCATTTATACAAAATGAGATACATTCCGCGAGTCTGTATCTTATTTGCGCATATGAGATTTTGTATGCAGAAATCAGTCATTTACTTCTGATTTCTGATTTTTAACCCAAATCTCCCGAAAAAAGTATCCTGAAATGGATACTGAAGTTCATAAAAAGTTAAGCTTATTTATCTTACTTTATCCAAATATATTTTACACATATATAGTTCTTCAAGCTCCTATAAGAAATAATTTCGAATTTTTTTTTAAGGTTTCTTTTACTTATACATTTATTGTTACTTACATGTATACATTTATACTATACTACCGATTCGATGTTTCTTTTGGGCTCAGTTAGCTAGTACGTGCCCTAAGAACTTAAGTCAAAGCGAAATGCACAACTAACCAAACCTGTGTATTTGATATGAGCGAAGCAAACAAAAGAGGCGAACTTTGTTTATTTATATATGATGTAAGTATGGTTGGTTGTGCAATTCGCTTTGGTTCAAGTTCTTACGGTAGGTACCGACTAATGGAGCCTTTGGTAATAAGCGGTTACCTAGTTCCAAATCATAACGCGGTGTTGGACACTGACAAGCAAGAATACTCATAAGATATGGCAAAAACTACGGTTGAGAAAGGCTTACAGATGTTAAGCACTGCTGGATAATGTAGTCCAGTACTCAGAATTCAGCGATCTTATTATTTTGCGCAATGAATATATAGCTCGAATATATAGATTAAGTTAATCTATTTTGTGTGTTATATTGACTACCACCTCCATTTAAAATATAGCTAACTTAGTAACAGATATTTTCGAAACCTCACAAAGCCTGCGTCTTCCTGGCAATTTAAAATTTAATGAGTGTCTTTCTAGAAAATAATTTAGATATAGAAGTTATACCTCTTAACAACAAGACAGCGTAAATATAGCTGTGATTCATAAATCAATATAGCGTAGCAGAAGTTGTACATCTTAAACAACATTGCACAGAAAAATTATACTTCTTAAATAAGTTAAACTGCCTTAATAAAATAAAAAAGTAAAAATTATACTTTTAACCAATATAAAATAGTTGTACCTTTTAAAAGAATAAAAGTTAGGTTATCATAGAATATTAGAGAATTATCTTAAATATTAGAGAATATATGTAAGAACGAAATCACACTTCTTAGATAGAGCAATATTGAATATAGTTTATTTTGCTTTCGTTTATTTGCCAAGAAAATTTTATTATAGAAATTTTAAATTAGTTAGTATTCCTAACAGGGCATACTACTAGCATATTTATTTGGTATCTAGTTTTCATCATCAGTTGAGAAAGAGTAGTCCAGCAGGCATATAAATAATATATCGGTCCAATAGTCACCACAGCATACATGATTGAACGAGATGGAAAACGCAGGATAGTATGTGAATAGCATATCATTTCAAGATACTTTTTTGGGAGACCGTATCTAACCATAGAGTTTAGTGGAGCATACAAAATATACCATCAAACTATCTTCACGACTAAATCAGACTACCTAATAACAGAAAAAACAAACAGAATCAACTCTGCCTATTTCAGCGAAGCAAACTTCAAATTTAAAGTTTTTTTTTTTTGATTAACATAAAAAACTAATCCAAATAAAAAAAAAAAAAAAAAAAAGAAAAGCCGTCTAAAACTAGTGTCTTTCACTGTAACTGCAAAATACAAATTTATTGTAACTCAAAACTTGGGTTTAGAACTGCTATTTCGGGCAGAAGATACGATGCAAAGTCTCTATGAGAAGTTTTAGGGACAATTAATAACTTAGGTTAATAATTACTAATACTCTGTATACGCTAGAAATGGAGCTTTTAATAAGCACAGCATTTTATTCTTAGATAGCAAGAGTATATAAACTTATCTTCGACGATTTAAAATTATACTGAAGTCCATGCATAAACAACTAATATATACCATATAGTTTTAGTCAAATAAAATTCAGAAATTCTAAAGAAACTCTAAGTAGAAACCCCTGTAATATAAGGAAGAAAATTTAAGCGTTATTATGATAGCATATTGATAACGCTTCTACTAATACAGTAAAGTGAAACTGCTCTGTAACTATTACAATTTAAATCAGTCTTTCATTCTAGCTTCCTACCTATCTTCCACCAGTCTTCACACATTAAATAAATAATACTTGTTACTTATATAGGAACTTATAAGTGCTGTAACGCTGAGTCCCCATAGCAGTTATCTAAGATTTTGTGTCTTTATGAACTTTATAATCTATGATCTGCATTTACCTTTAAGCAATACATGCTTGGGTTCATACAACCTATAAATAGATAGCTACTTCCCTATCAGACATTCTACGTGATTCAGTTAAAGGTTTTTCACGTATAAAAATCTACAGCTGAATATCTATTAATTAATTTCAAATTTTGGATAAAAGAACCAATTCGTCTTCACAGACGTATTTCGTGATTGAAGTTCTATTAAAGTCACCATAAACATTGCAACTTTTAGTGTCATTTGCCTGGAACAACAACAAACTTATTTGAGTCTTTCCGCCAAATGTTTAGTTGCAAAATATAATACATATATAATATATATAGAATGCGTGTTACTATAAGACATATGACATTTTACCCAACCTATTCTGATCTCCTACCAAATAGTTTTCTGTTTTATTTTTTTAATTCGGGACTTTCAAAAGAACTACTTACTCTGTGATATGTACACGCCAGTTTGAGTTAAGTCAAATGAATTTTATTTATTCCTTTAACATTATGCTCACATTTACATTACATTATATATAGAAAATCATTATGGAATAATTTAATGTTGAAACATTTTCTTGAATGTTTCCAAATCAAGAGGTGGAATGTTATCCGCTTTCATCTTGGCCTCCAAAGCTAGCAGATGAAATATATAAAAGCATATCAAAAAAACTTATATTGGTATATATATACATTACCTTTTATATTGCCTTCCATTTCGTTTAAAATATTCTCTATTGCCTTTTGCTCTGTAGTGACATGATCCAATAAATTACGTTTACATATCTCCTTTGTTACTTCCTCCTCTGTTCCACTAGTTGTTTTAATAAATTTTAATTCCTCTTTGTTTGATTCCTTTTCATTCCATTTGTGGGCCCACAAATGTAATTTAGGATCTTCATCTTTCTCAGCAATTTCAGTCTTTACTTTCAAAGACTTTATCGACTCCTTAACTTCGATTAAGTTTCCTGTTAGATAATTAACTTTTTTTAGAACATCAGACTGATTAGTTGACACAGGTTTTTCTTTATCGTATTTAATTGCTGGCAATACACCGTTGAAAAACCAATTTTCATATGCTGGGCTTGATAGGTGCTTATAGGCACGGAAACGTCTGGGCCAATCATCAACCGCATCACGGGACACTTTTTTCATTTTATTTTCCTTTTTTTCGTTATCAATTTTATTGACACGCTTATAAACTCTACGTCCGGGCATATTTGGGTAAGCTTGTTCTTTACGAGCTAACAAGAGATCCACAAACTCTGCATTATGAACACATATAGGCTGCCCCGTGAGGTAAGTAGGAAATGTAGGATAAGTAGAAGCTGCAGTCCCTTTACACTTCTTTTGAGGTGCAGTTTTAACAATGGTGTTATGTTTTCTCCTAACATACTTTCTTTTTAGTTTTCGATAAACTTCTTTGTCTCTTTGAGTATTAATATTCTTTCGCGACTGACCAAAGCGCTTGCGTGGCGGTTCAGTTATAGAACCCTCCATGGTCTCTTCAGTTGCGCCAATTTTAACTAAAAAATCAAACATATGTTTGTCTTAATAAAAAATTCATTAAATGGAATGGCAAATATGTACTTGATAAATACTCTAACATAAATTAAAGAACTCACCTATTATAAAAACCTTTTTTCTCACAAATTTATTTAAATCGAAATGCAAGAATGATATTACTAGCAAAATATCGAATGACACTTTTTACATCAGATTTTATCCAATGCTTCTTAGAGTTCTATCTCCAAAATGTAATAGATTTCTGTGAATAGTTCTGTCATGGCAGTGTTGCAAAATGGCAAAGAATAATTTCTCGTATATTACGTTCACAATGTAAGTTATTATACGAACTTTAGGTCATATGACTACATGTGAATATATATATGCAGTACTTCTGTATTATCACTTTTAAATATATATTTTGAATGTTTATTATTTTGCGAGCATTTATTGTTTTATACGTAAATATTTGCTTTTTTCTCTTGTTTCTGAAAAGATGCGCTAAATACTAATGGACGCTTGACCATTAGGTTAGTTGTTGTTTGTACTTTGGTTTTTACATCATGCTAGATGGCGTTGCGCTGGCTAATGTGTTCGCCACATATATTATAAATATAGATGTATGTCACATGTTTTGGCGCTGATAATGCTAATTTACTACACAAAAAAAAATAATAAAATAGAATTAAAAAGTTAAATAACAAATAACAAATGTGTGTGATCGCACATGACGGGTTACGTCGTACACAGCTTACGTGCTTAGGGTGCCAGTTTCCACTTGGCACCCTTTGATAGTTACCTAGTACCCGTTTGGTAATGAACTAATAGTGAATATAGCGGAATTTAAGTTAAGTTTACTATGGACCTGGTAAGACTGCTATAAAAGAGCTACCTGTGGTGTTTTTATATCTGCCATATAAATAGCCGTGAATCCAAACACAGTTTTGTGGTGAGTATGAGACCTTAGATTTAGTATAACAATTCAATTTTGTGAACAAAACTTTTCCTACTACCCGCATCAAAATAACATTCTTTAACATCCCCCTAAATTATGGGCATGTTTTGATAAAAGACACACGACAAATTCTGTGACTGCTGTCCCACTCATGAGGTTAAAATTGTTTCTGCGAATTTTAATGCAAAAGTCGGAAGAGAAACAATTCCTAGTTCAACTGTCGTAAAATTCAATTCCTTTGACCTCATTTCTAATAACGCCCTCAGGCTGATAACCTTTACTGCGGCAGGAAACATGGTAGAATGAAGCATTAGTTTGCACATTGCAACATTCGCAAGGTTACATGGTTCTATTCTGATTAATCAACAAGAAATCAGCTTGATCGATTCTTAATTAATTCAAAACATACTTAAAGAAAGCCAATCTATATAAAACCCAGTAATATAAAGATTAGGAATAGGAATAGGAAATAACAGGGTACTAGCTCCCATTTGAGCAGAGCACTGCGACCATGATTGATCTTTTGTGCTTATATAAAGATTAAGTAATCTCAGAATATCGATATTGCCAAAAATTGAACTTAATCACGCCACTCACACTCATTTATCTTTTTTTCCCTATACTTATTTTATTTTAAATATTTCGTTTCTTTACAAATTGTATTCGTTTCTTTATGAATATTTAACAAAAAATTTAAAACAATAAATTTTAGGTCCTAAGGTAAGCAATCCATTTGAAGAAAAAATTAATGAAATGAGTTATTGGGCTGACTGACCATGTAGCCAAATATCTATTATCAGTGACCTTGAGAAAAATTTATTTACAAAAATTTGAGAATATTTACTCAATATTATTTCCTTATCTAGTACACACATTTACTACCAACTATTTTAAAATATTGATAAGGTAAATATTGATATCCGTCATATGCAATAGTAAATCTTTTGATTGTCTATTGCATACAGAACCCGCAGTTAGCTACTTATATCCCTATTATAGTTCAATGTATATCTATTGAAGAGCACTTCCTACGACGTTTTAATTTTTCGCTATTCTAATTGCATACCTTCATTAAATTTTCCTGGTAGTAATAAAGTTTATCTGAGCCTTTCCTCCAAATATTTGGGTTAAAGAAATAAACCATTTATTAGTTCAATTTATTCTTTTAAATAATACGATCTGATTTACATGGCATTATTCAGAGCTGACAGTATTTTGATCATTTTCGCTTTTTTCAGCTTCTTCCTTGGAACGTTCATGTTCAGTTGCATTTACTGCAGCGATTTTTTTTAATGTTCCCAAACCAATCATAGCAGTTTGAATTTCTTGAAGTGTAGAACAAAAATCAAAACCTGGGACGCCATCTTGATTTGCCTTGATCTCCAGTGCTAGCACCAATATAAATATAAGTGTTACAAATTAAAGAAGTCAGCAATTTATTATAAATCTACAATACCTGCTAATTCTGACTCAATTTTGTTTAAAGTGTCCTCTACTGTCTTTTGCTGTGTAACGATATGATCCAATAAGTTTCGCTTACATTCCTCATTTGTTATGTTTTCTTCGATTTCCCCGTTTTCATTCACAATTTCCATTTCACACTCTTTATTTTCTTGAGGTCTCCATTTTTGAGCCCATAAACGCAATTTAGGATTCCCATCTTCCCCAACAATTCTGGTCTTATCATTCAAAAACTTTATCGAATCCTTAAGTCCGATTAAATTTCCAGTCAGGTCATGAGCTTTTCTAAGAACACCAAAGCGATTTTCTAATATAGGATTAGGTTCATGATATGACGCCGTAGGCAACTCTCCACTGTACACCCAATTAAAACTATCGTCACTGTTGATATCACTGTCAGAATCAGAAGAAATCTGCTCAACATCTTTTTCTTTAGACTTAGAGTCTTCATCGGAGTCATTTTCAGGGCAATACTTAGAAACCTCATCAGATCCTATATCTGGAAAAATGAGATATCCTTCTTCTTCACAAGTCAAAGTATGTTTCATGAACTCGTCACTTTCAGAATTCTCATCATAACTGTTATCTGTAGAAGCATTAAGTGCTTTTTTCTTACGTTTCCGTTCATTCTTTAATTCAACCTCTTTAGTGTTATCTTGTTTTTCTAAATCCTCAGTTTTCTTTTCATTTGTGACTATGCAAGGAGCAGGTGTGTTTTGGGCACACCTTGTTTTGCTACGTGTTTGAATCGCAAATGACGAATCTGATATATTGTTATCTAATCAAAATAGTAAACAATTTGTTAATATGTTTTTAGTTTAATTTGATTGAAAATTTTTATTATTAAACAATAAAAGCTCACCATTCGGTATAACATGATCCATAGTTTTCTTTTTCTGCTCAACTATTCCAGAAATTCTATTTCGAGGATATTTCTTCTTGCTGCGTGTTTTTATCTCAAACGATGAATCGGAACTACTGTCATCTAATCAAAATTGTTCAAAATTTGTTAATTCAAATATATATATAAAAAAAAACAAGCGAAAGTTTTTAATTATTTTAAAATTTGATGACCTTACCCAATGTTACGTCTTTCTGCTTAGCTTCGTTAGGAGAATCTAACATAGCCATATCTTCCTGCTCAGCTTTGTCAGATGCATCTAACATGACTATATCTTTCTGATCAGCTATGTTAGAAGAATCTAGCATGGCCATATCTTCTTGCGCAATTTTGTTTGAAGAATCCAACAGGAGTAAATATTTCGGCTCAGTTTTTTTAGAATTATTTCGCATAGCTATATCTTCTTGCGCGGTCTTCTTAGAAGAATCTTGCATTACGTTACCTTCATGCTCGACTTTATTAGAAGAATCTGACATAGTTATAATTTGAGATAACTTCCTCTGACTACGTGTTCTTGGCACAATTACAGATTTGGACATATTATAATCTAATCAATATAGTTAAAGCTATGTTAATTTGAATATAATAGAATTATATAAAAATTTAACAGAAATATGAGAGTTCACAAATAGTTCATAATTTATAAATAATAAAATCTCATTAAATGTAATGACCTTACCTAAATTCATTTCTTTCTTCTCGACTACGGTAGAAGAATCTGACTTGGCTACGTCAGAAGCATCTAACTTAACAATGTTAGAAGAATCTAGCACGACTACTTTGGAAGACTCCAAAACGGCTACGTTGTAAGAATTTTGCATGGCTACTTTAGAAGTATCTAACATGGATATACCTTCCTGTTTAGCTTTGTTAGAAGAATCTCGCATAACTTTATCTTTCTGCTCAGATTTGTTAGGAGAATCTAACATAGCTATAATTTGAGATAACTTACTCCTGCTGCGTGTTCTTGGCATAATCATAGATTCGGACATATTGTAATCTAATCAATATAGTTAAAAACATGTTAATTGGAACATAAAAAAATTATTTAAGAATTTAACAGAAATATCCGAGTGCTTAATTAGTTCAGTATGTTTATAAATAATAAAACCACATTTATGGTATTGCAATGACCTTACCTAACTTCATTTTCTTCATCTCTTTGGATACGTTAGAAGAGTCTAGCATTGCTACTTTAGAATTATCTAATATGGCTACATCTTTCTGGGCAGCTTTGTTAGAAGAATCTTGCATGGCTAAAATTTCAGATAACTTCCTTTGGCTACGTGTTCTTGCAACAATCACAGATCTGGACATATTGTAATCTAATCAATATAGTTAAAAATATGTTAATTGGAATATAAAGAGAAATTATTTAAGAATTTATTAGAAATTTATGAGAATTTATAAATAATAAAACCTCATCAATTTCAATGACCTTACCTAACTTCTTCTCTCTCCTCTCGTTTATGTTAGAAGAATTTAACTTGGCTACATTAGAAGAACCTGGCACAATTACTTTAGAAGACTTCAACCCAGCTACATTAGAAGAATCTACCATGGCTGTCTTTGCAGGTAACTTCCTGCTGCTGCGTCTTTTTGACATAATTGATAAACGAGACATATTGTTATCTAATAGCAAAAATAGTAAAAAATTTATTAATTCGACTATAAACAAATTATAATTATAAAAAAATCAACACATATATGCAGACGTTTTTTTTGGTCAAATTCTTTTCACAACTCTTGACATTTAAATTTTAGATACTCCATTTTGAGATACAGTTGTTGCACTGTTACTACTATTTTTGACAAAAAAAAAGGAGTAATTTCAAGTATTGGTTTTCACACAATGATTGTGGCCCTTATACCTAATATAGGTATAACCATATTCCTAATAAAATGTTTATAAAAACGAAAGCCTAGCCTATATATATTTCATATGAATGATTATTTACGCTTAATAGAGAATACATCAAGCATGTAGGAAACCTGGAGTGAATAAAATATATTCAGGTAAGTAAATAACCAATGTGATACTTGGCTTGTTTATTAAGTAGTTTCTCGGAGATCTTTGCTAAAGGCATATCCCACATTTGTTATGTCGTCACTATATCTCTTCTTTCCTTATTGATATGAGAACGTCAAAAATTTGTTAGAATATGTTTAAATGTAATACTTTAAAACTTTTTTTTGTTGGTGCCTAACTCTTTCCAATTATTTTAATTAGTTAATTAAAAATAAAAAAAATATTTAGCGGAGAAATATATTGTAAAGTATATTAAAAAACAAAAACAAATTGATTTTCGATTTCTTTTTTGATTTTCTGTTAGCTAATCTTTAAGACTTACAGTGTAAACACTTAACATTTTTGTAGACAAAAATTAATTGGCAGAATAAAATAAGTTGAAGTCAAAACGTTGTATTATCACAAAATGAATTTTTCATTTTAGAACACCTTGATCAATGCTTATGATCGAATAACCAGTTACATATATGCAGTGACCAGTTATATATATTTTTAATCGATCAAGCGACAGAGCTGTAGGATTTTTCACTACGCTTTATATCAACTAGCAAAAGAACCAATTTGTACTTCACAGACGTATTTCGTGATTGAAGTTCTATTAAAGTCACCACAAACATTGCAATTTTTAGTGTTTAGTTGCAAAATATAATACATATATAATATATATAGAATGTGTGTTACTATAAGACAATTGACATTTTACCCAACCTATTCTGATGTCCTACCAAATAGTTTTCTGTTTTATTTTTTAATTCGGGACTTTCAAAAGAGCTACTTACTCTGTGATATGTACACGCCAGTTTGAGTTAAGTCAAATGAATTTTATTTATTCCTTTAACATTATGCTCACATTTACATTACATTATATATAGAAAATCATTATGGAATAATTTAATGTTGAAACATTTTCTTGAATGTTTCCAAATCAAGAGGTGGAATGTTATCCGCTTTCATCTTGGCCTCCAAAGCTAGCAGATGAAATATATAAAAGCATATCAAAAAAACTTATATTGGTATATATATACATTACCTTTTATATTGCCTTCCATTTCGTTTAAAATATTCTCTATTGCCTTTTGCTCTGTAGTGACATGATCCAATAAATTACGTTTACATATCTCCTTTGTTACTTCCTCCTCTGTTCCACTAGTTGTTTTAATAAATTTTAATTCCTCTTTGTTTGATTCCTTTTCATTCCATTTGTGGGCCCACAAATGTAATTTAGGATCTTCATCTTTCTCAGCAATTTCAGTCTTTACTTTCAAAGACTTTATCGACTCCTTAACTTCGATTAAGTTTCCTGTTAGATAATTAACTTTTTTTAGAACATCAGACTGATTAGTTGACACAGGTTTTTCTTTATCGTATTTAATTGCTGGCAATACACCGTTGAAAAACCAATTTTCATATGCTGGGCTTGATAGGTGCTTATAGGCACGGAAACGTCTGGGCCAATCATCAACCGCATCACGGGACACTTTTTTCATTTTAATTTCCTTTTTTTCGTTATCAATTTTATTGACACGCTTATAAACTCTACGTCCGGGCATATTTGGGTAAGCTTGTTCTTTACGAGCTAACAAGAGATCCACAAACTCTGCATTATGAACACATATAGGCTGCCCCGTGAGGTAAGTAGGAAATGTAGGATAAGTAGAAGCTGCAGTCCCTTTACACTTCTTTTGAGGTGCAGTTTTAACAATGGTGTTATGTTTTCTCCTAACATACTTTCTTTTTAGTTTTCGATAAACTTCTTTGTCTCTTTGAGTATTAATATTCTTTCGCGACTGACCAAAGCGCTTGCGTGGCGGTTCAGTTATAGAACCCTCCATGGTCTCTTCAGTTGCGCCAATTTTAACTAAAAAATCAAACATATGTTTGTCTTAATAAAAAATTCATTAAATGGAATGGCAAATATGTACTTGATAAATACTCTAACATAAATTAAAGAACTCACCTATTATAAAAACCTTTTTTCTCACAAATTTATTTAAATCGAAATGCAAGAATGATATTACTAGCAAAATATCGAATGACACTTTTTACATCAGATTTTATCCAATGCTTCTTAGAGTTCTATCTCCAAAATGTAATAGATTTCTGTGAATAGTTCTGTCATGGCAGTGTTGCAAAATGGCAAAGAATAATTTCTCGTATATTACGTTCACAATGTAAGTTATTATACGAACTTTAGGTCATATGACTACATGTGAATATATATATGCAGTACTTCTGTATTATCACTTTTAAATATATATTTTGAATGTTTATTATTTTGCGAGCATTTATTGTTTTATACGTAAATATTTGCTTTTTTCTCTTGTTTCTGAAAAGATGCGCTAAATACTAATGGACGCTTGACCATTAGGTTAGTTGTTGTTTGTACTTTGGTTTTTACATCATGCTAGATGGCGTTGCGCTGGCTAATGTGTTCGCCACATATATTATAAATATAGATGTATGTCACATGTTTTGGCGCTGATAATGCTAATTTACTACACAAAAAAAAATAATAAAATAGAATTAAAAAGTTAAATAACAAATAACAAATGTGTGTGATCGCACATGACGGGTTACGTCGTACACAGCTTACGTGCTTAGGGTGCCAGTTTCCACTTGGCACCCTTTGATAGTTACCTAGTACCCGTTTGGTAATGAACTAATAGTGAATATAGCGGAATTTAAGTTAAGTTTACTATGGACCTGGTAAGACTGCTATAAAAGAGCTACCTGTGGTGTTTTTATATCTGCCATATAAATAGCCGTGAATCCAAACACAGTTTTGTGGTGAGTATGAGACCTTAGATTTAGTATAACAATTCAATTTTGTGAACAAAACTTTTCCTACTACCCGCATCAAAATAACATTCTTTAACATCCCCCTAAATTATGGGCATGTTTTGATAAAAGACACACGACAAATTCTGTGACTGCTGTCCCACTCATGAGGTTAAAATTGTTTCTGCGAATTTTAATGCAAAAGTCGGAAGAGAAACAATTCCTAGTTCAACTGTCGTAAAATTCAATTCCTTTGACCTCATTTCTAATAACGCCCTCAGGCTGATAACCTTTACTGCGGCAGGAAACATGGCAGAATGAAGCATTAGTTTGCACATTGCAACATTCGCAAGGTTACATGGTTCTATTCTGATTAATCAACAAGAAATCAGCTTGATCGATTCTTAATTAATTCAAAACATACTTAAAGAAAGCCAATCTATATAAAACCCAGTAATATAAAGATTAGGAATAGGAATAGGAAATAACAGGGTACTAGCTCCCATTTGAGCAGAGCACTGCGACCATGATTGATCTTTTGTGCTTATATAAAGATTAAGTAATCTCAGAATATCGATATTGCCAAAAATTGAACTTAATCACGCCACTCACACTCATTTATCTTTTTTTCCCTATACTTATTTTATTTTAAATATTTCGTTTCTTTACAAATTGTATTCGTTTCTTTATGAATATTTAACAAAAAATTTAAAACAATAAATTTTAGGTCCTAAGGTAAGCAATCCATTTGAAGAAAAAATTAATGAAATGAGTTATTGGGCTGACTGACCATGTAGCCAAATATCTATTATCAGTGACCTTGAGAAAAATTTATTTACAAAAATTTGAGAATATTTACTCAATATTATTTCCTTATCTAGTACACACATTTACTACCAACTATTTTAAAATATTGATAAGGTAAATATTGATATCCGTCATATGCAATAGTAAATCTTTTGATTGTCTATTGCATACAGAACCCGCAGTTAGCTACTTATATCCCTATTATAGTTCAATGTATATCTATTGAAGAGCACTTCCTACGACGTTTTAATTTTTCGCTATTCTAATTGCATACCTTCATTAAATTTTCCTGGTAGTAATAAAGTTTATCTGAGCCTTTCCTCCAAATATTTGGGTTAAAGAAATAAACCATTTATTAGTTCAATTTATTCTTTTAAATAATACGATCTGATTTACATGGCATTATTCAGAGCTGACAGTATTTTGATCATTTTCGCTTTTTTCAGCTTCTTCCTTGGAACGTTCATGTTCAGTTGCATTTACTGCAGCGATTTTTTTTAATGTTCCCAAACCAATCATAGCAGTTTGAATTTCTTGAAGTGTAGAACAAAAATCAAAACCTGGGACGCCATCTTGATTTGCCTTGATCTCCAGTGCTAGCACCAATATAAATATAAGTGTTACAAATTAAAGAAGTCAGCAATTTATTATAAATCTACAATACCTGCTAATTCTGACTCAATTTTGTTTAAAGTGTCCTCTACTGTCTTTTGCTGTGTAACGATATGATCCAATAAGTTTCGCTTACATTCCTCATTTGTTATGTTTTCTTCGATTTCCCCGTTTTCATTCACAATTTCCATTTCACACTCTTTATTTTCTTGAGGTCTCCATTTTTGAGCCCATAAACGCAATTTAGGATTCCCATCTTCCCCAACAATTCTGGTCTTATCATTCAAAAACTTTATCGAATCCTTAAGTCCGATTAAATTTCCAGTCAGGTCATGAGCTTTTCTAAGAACACCAAAGCGATTTTCTAATATAGGATTAGGTTCATGATATGACGCCGTAGGCAACTCTCCACTGTACACCCAATTAAAACTATCGTCACTGTTGATATCACTGTCAGAATCAGAAGAAATCTGCTCAACATCTTTTTCTTTAGACTTAGAGTCTTCATCGGAGTCATTTTC